ATTCCTTTTTTTTTTTTTTTTTTTTTTTTACAAGCTACGATCCTCAACACCCAGGCCAATGACACAAAGGTGAAGGCTGGAAAATCTATAAACAGCAGGTCCCTCAGAAACACGGCTCTAAGTGAGACAAGTAAATGTGCTCGTGCGCAAAGGAAACTGCCTGCCTAAGTACAAACACACTTATGGGGGGGCGCAGCTGAGTTAGGGAACGACCCTTTCACCTGATGCCATCTCCACTTCCAGCCCCATAGGAGAGATGCCTAAGGCAGGGAAACAATTACCAGATTTCTCTTCATGCACTGAACGCTGTGAATTTGTGTGCACATCACTTACGCATCTCTTTGTACAAAAAGAAGCGAAGTTCATTAAATGGCTTCACATTTCTCCCTGCTGGCATCGCTCTTCACTGCCACAGAAAAGTTGATTTGCCATAAAAGCATCTTTATCCTGCCCTTCTGAAATCGCAAACAGCGCTTGAACATGAACTGAAAGTCAGAGATTGCTCAGAATGCCCGCTATTTAGAGATGTGCACTGAGAAGGGAATTTTCCTCTCCCGCATTGAGTCTGATTCAGTCTAATCTGAACAGAGCTGTGGAAGGAAGAAGCCTGGAGAAAGCAGGTTCTGATGAGAGCTGCCTACTGCCCCGCACAGCCACACCCAGAGCTAGCGAGACTCTGTCCTGCCCCATGCACGGTGCCCAGTGCACCACGAAGGGTGCTCTGCACATCCCAGGCAGCACTGCCCAAAAGTGTCCAGCGGCCGCACATAGGACAGCAACCTCTGGAAACCAGTTTAGCTCCCTCCCGGCCGTGTTCTGATGTACAGCGCTCACAGAACACTGACCTGCCATACGTGTGTGTGTGCATTTAGGGTCAGAAGGCGGGTCACTCACCAAGGCAGACTAGAGACGGACATGGCAGCGACCTGGGGGAGTGCTCTAGGCTTCGTGATGGGAATCAGACTGTCCAGACCACAAGGCTGCCGGCAGTGTTCGCTTTGCTGCTGGAACAACGCAGTCCGAGAGGATCTAAAGACAGAAGAACACAGTGACGCCTCTCATCTGTATGACTCGCTGCGCTCACTTCAAACAGATCAATGTGTATAGTATAAGCCAGAGACAGGTTGTTTTTCCTGAAATATGAGACACATCATGAATCAACCACATCATTAAACCAGCCAGAGGATGATCTTAATGCCTTCCTTCAAGAACAACTGAAGGTTTTTTAAATATTCCTTGAGGTAGACAACACACACGTGATAAGGAACAACAAGAAAGGCTTACATGCCATTAATCCTCCTCAAAACATGACCCCTCCCTTCAGCACGCGGATCTCACTGTCCTCAACACTCCCTGCAGCAGCTCTGGGTCCTCTTTTGTGAGTGTCTTGGGTTGCACCACCGTGGCTGCCTCGACATCCTGAGCGGGTTCAGAACAGTCACTCCTCAGGGTCATGTCACACGGTACCAGATGTGGTTAATGAGGGGACAGGTGAGGTGCACGTGCTCTTCTGAGCCCCCTCCCTGCTGAACTGCACTCCGCTCCACAGCAGCGATCCCGCATTTCAGATCACACCTGGTAAAGACCCTCAAGAAACAGCACTGCCAGACCTGCTCCAGACAGTGGCAAGAATGATGAGGCAAACGTGTCCAGATCGGAGAAGTACTCTGAGGAGGACTGCTAGCACTGTCTTTTACTGCAATGCTTTCTTAAAGTTTCATTTAAACACTAACCATACTTCCGATCACACGAGTACTATGTGTATCTATAGCCCGAGGGTAAAGATGGTGACACATGTGTAACACACAGGTCCTGCCCTGAAGAACCCTTTCTACAACAGAGATCATCACCCTGGAGTAAGTGTTGTGATAAAGACACACACAGGGCACACAAAGAGGGACCTGCAGAACTCTCAAAAGAAGACATGCCCTGAAGTATTACCGCTGGGCTTAGTCACACGTTTCCCCAAAATCCCAAATCAAAGTTTCTTAGAAAAGACAGTTTATTTCTCTCATAGAAATCAGTCTCAAGGAGTCCAAGGAAAATGTGGCAACCTCACGAACCAAGAATTGATGCTCTTTCTTGCTTTCTTTTGGTACCAGGGATCTAACTCGGGATCTTGCACCTGCAACGCATGCAGTGGAACTGCTGAGCTAAATTCCCAGCCTGATGCTCTTTCTTGTAGCCCATTCTCAACACGGGCTTCTTCTTCATGGCCCCAGAGGCTGCTGAGCTCCAGCAAAGATGACTGCATTCCAGCCAGCAGGCAGAAGGAAGAGGAAAAGTAAGATGCTTCCTGACATGTACACGCACCATTTCTGCTTGCATCTCATCGCCCAGAGCGTAGTTACCTCACTACTCTTCCTCAAAGAAAGACCAGAAAATGCAGGAATGATTCTAGGCGTCTGCCTCCCAGCTCCTGAGCACTGTGTCTTGCAGTGAAGGGGGCAGTGTGCGGCCCTGGAGATCTGCCCCTGTCTGCCACACGCGAGAAACTCAGTAACCTGGGCGCCCAAGGAGCTGCGAGCAAACGATGGCAAACATGGGGAGGGGAAGGTGGGCTCCACCTGTTGCTGGATGACACTTTCACCTACGAGTGTTTCATTTATAATTTTAAATATGAAACTTTAATGTTCTTAAATCATGGATGGATCAAGAAAATATTGATTGTGTTATTTACCAGGGTGAAACTCCACACTAAGGGTAAGAAGACCAGCAATGAAGAATCTGCATGGAAACACAGCACCGTCCAGGCCGAGCATGGCGGCACACGCCTCTCACCCTGCTGAGGCAGGAGGCTGGGACGCCTGAGCCCGGCCTGGGCAATGTATCCAATTAGTGAGACCCGGCCTCAAAAGAAAATGTTTAAAAAGGCTCTGGGTTCAATTCGTAGTACTGAAAAAAATAAAACAAAACTCTCACTGATGAACACTGAGGCCGTCCCATTTGCAAACTAACAGATGGCTCTAGGAAGGTTGCTGTGCACACACAGGTGCTTGTGAGGGTACAGCGCACAGAGAAAGAGCGATGACTTAACGGATTCCAATTCGGCTACACGCTGACTGGCGAGATGGTCCCCACCCGCCAGTGAATGGGCAGCTCTGAGGGTCCACACCCCAAGGGCTCTGCAGACTCCAGAACAGGCTGCTCTTCTGTTCTGCCTGGCTGGCGGGAAAGCACGGAAACATACACTACTGAGGACACAGAAACTCCAAACTGCACATCTGCCAGCAACAGTTCACTCCCATCTTTCATAATCTGGGCTCTGGTTCTTATCAAGGGTTCACTTTCCAAGAAAAATACATATGGAAATTAGTCTGATGCAATGTATTCTTCTAGGCATACTTAACTCTATCTTTAGTAAGCTGGGTGTCTGGCTGTCATTATTTTAATACCTAATCAAATTTTTTCTATTGAATTATACTTTGGAGTTTTGCTAACAGCTTGCACTGAGACAGTATTGGAGAATATAAAAAATAAGCAGAACATCAGGCCTATGAGACCAGGTATTAGGTTTGTTGGAATATTTGACAACACAGAAATGTTGTCATCAAGAGCACTCAAAGGAAAAAATTGAGTTAGATTTCCACATCAGTAAAACTCTTATCTAAGTTTCTCACTTGCCTTTATTCTAAGGGTATCACACAATGTTTTACACTTGCTTATGTGCTTTAACTTATGAGAAGCTCTGAGACAAATTTGTGATGTTTCTCAATAAGTATGCACGATTTCTTGTTATGATTTAAATGCAAAGTCTTCCCCAAAGACTCATGTATCCAGGCTTGATCAGCAATGCACCCGTGGTTAGAGCCGGGCCTCGGAAGCAACTGAATCAAGAGGGCTCAAGCTTCAGCTATGGATCGCTGGAGATCACAGTTCAACAGCGTTCTTGGAAGGGCAGGCAGACAGGAGGTAGAGTCCAGAGGGAGTGGACCATGGAGCACGGCCTCGGGGACTGCATATGGTCCCTGGTGCCTTTCTTCCCAGCTCTGTCCTTCTGTCTCTTCTTGGTCACCATGAGCCGAGTAGCTTCCCTCCATGCCCTACTACTGTGATGTTCCTGCCCCAGTACAGACCTAAAGCAACAGAGCTGGCTGACCACGGACCAAAACTTCTAAAATCATGAGCCAAAAATCTTTTCCTTCTTTAAGTTATTTGCAGGTATTTTGTCACAGATGAAAGCTGGCTAATCAGAAAATTGGTACCAGGAGTGAAATCACTGTGACTATATCTGACCATGTGGTTCAAAAGCCTTTGGAACTGGTTTGTGGAAATAGTTTGGAAAGATGTGGAAATGCAGGCTACAAAGAAAAGCCCTACAATGCTATAAGCAGAGCTTGATGGGTAATTATAGTGTGAGCTCAGCAGACAATAATGCTGATGGGAATGTGGACAGTAAAGGCCATGCTCAGGAAGTTTCATATGGGGAATTCAGGTTACATTCTGGCAAAGAGCTGTCTACTTTTTGTCTACAACTAAGACTCTGCGTAAGAGTAAATTTAAAGGTGACCAACAAGTCAATCTGGTGAAGAAAATTTTAAGATAGCATAGTACTCAGTCTGTGACATGGATATCACTAGCTACTTTTAGCCAAATTTATACTGAGAATTGTAAACCAAAAAAGTAGAGCAGAAAGATCTGAGAAACTTGCAGTCTGGCCAGAAAAGAAAATCACTTCAAATTGGAGTGAAGAGGTGTGGCTGAAGAGATGAGCCACAAAACCAAGCCAATTATTTTGCACTTAGTCAATGGGAAAGATGCTTGAGGCATCTCAGGAGTTAACCAGACCCCTCCCATTTCAGGCTCAAGGGTTTACAAGTATGAATTCCTCTGAAAGTATTTGCTCTGAGAAGAATGTGAGGGGCTCCCTGCTCCCACATGTTCCCCTAGGAGGTTGTTTCATAAGATTCCTTTCCCTACGTTCAGCCATCAGAGGCCTCTGTAGCCATGGTACAAGCAAGCCTGCCTACTGCTCAAGCTGATGGCAGACCCTGGCATCACCTACTTGATGCTGATGTAGCAGGCATGCAGAACGCAAGTTATGAGTCTTGAAGGATTCAAAGAAAGGTCTGAAAGGCCAGTCAATGTGTAACAGGGTCATCATCCCCACAAGGAGCTTGAAAGAACAATGCATGAAGTTGTGAGAGTGAGGTCAAAGCTGCAATGGAGCCAACAGGAAGTGAACATGGAATGTCTGCCAAAGAAATCCAAAGATGATCAGAAGCACTGGAGCAAGAGGGGGCCACCGGGTGACAGACAGCAAGACCACAGGGGCAGGGCGCCCCAGGCCCTCTGGAAACATCATGCCATCACATGCACCACGGGGAGATGTGGGAGTTAATATTTCCTTTGCTGGAAAAAATGCTTCTTTGATTTCATCCTTCCTATGTCCCCATTTCTCTTTTGAAATGGAACTGTTTACTCTGTAACACCGTGTCTTGGGAGTATGTAACCTGATTTTATTTTGACAGGAGCTCACAGCTAAGAGGTTTCCTTGTGTCTCAGAGGAGACTTTGGATTTAGACTACTGAGCAACTAGAACTGTTGAGACTGGAAGATTCTTGGAGAAGGGCTGAATGTATTTTGCACTGTGAGATGAATATAAACCTTTGAGGGGTTTAGGGTGGAACTTTGGGATCCAAACTGTTCCCCCAAAAGGCTCACTGTGTTGATGCTCAGTTGCAGACAAGACTGTTTTGGTGGTGAATGGATCACGAGGACTCTAACTTCATCTGCTGGTCAATCCATTGATGAGATGCTAATTCAATGGCATTCGATGCAAGGTGAAATGGAGGTGATGCCTACTTGAAGGGACGCCCTCCTGGGTGGTGACCTTGGGGACTATGTCTGGTCTCTGGCCCCTTCCTCTCTGGCTCTACTGTCTTCCTGCCTTCTGGCCACCATGAATTAAGTTTTCCTTCCCAGTGTCCTCTCCCCTATGATGCTCCACAGGCCTAATGGAAATTATGAGCCAAAATAAAACCTTTCTTTCTTTCTTATTTATTTATTTATTTATTTTTGGTACCAGG